AGGAATACAGAAGGAAGAACACAAAGGAGAAAGGAAAATTTTGTTTTTGATACACTAAATTTGGAAGGGTTGTGAGGTATGACAGCGATTAAGAGTAGCCACTGTAGGGCTGGGGGCATAACTTATTGGTAGAGTGCCTGGTTTTAATCCCCAGCACTACCCCCCCCCCGAAACCAAAAGGTAAAGTCAACTTTTACTTCTACCTGTTAGTAGTTTGTAAGAACTTGAGCAAATCATGTAACCAACTGCTTTATGCCTTTTTGTCCTTTATAAAATGAGATTGTAGGTTTTAAGGATTATAAATGTCTGAAGTGCTTAAGTCTTGGCCATTCGAGTGTTCAGTACATGGTTGGTTTTACTGTTTCATGGAGGTCTTCATGAGGGCGTTGGGGTGAGTTCAGGGATAAGCTAGTGGGTGGGATACAGGGATTTAGGAGTGATCATTGTGAAGCGAGCAGTTGAAGCCTTTGTAGGAAAGATTAGAGAGATTAGCCAGGAGAGTGAGGGGAGGGGGCTGAAGCCCAAACCCTGGGGAATAGCATCAAGGTTGGGTAGCACAGGAGCCAGTGACAGATACCTGTGAGAGACAAGGATTAGAAAATGAGAAGAATGGGGTCAGCTGTGAGTACTTCTCCAGTGTTAGACTGCATGCTCCCTGTCTGTATAAGTAGTACCTATGAATGGTGCAAGTAGGCATTTATGAGTGTGTTGAATGAGGGAGACTGTCAAAGGGGTGACAGATGCTCTCCCATGGTGTCTTTCAAATCTGCAGCATCTCCTGCCTGCCACTTCTGTTTGTTTGACAAGCAGTAATTTCCTTCCTGGAGAGGAAAATAGTCAAGAGCAAGGACTTCCTCACTTTCTTATCTGTCATCTCTACTCAATTTTAGTGGCCATACTAGGTGTGGAAACTAAATCACGATTGGTAGATGAGTGAAAATAAAGGCAACACACACAACCACACTGAATGCTGTTTTAGTTAACTTTACTAAGAAGAGAGAAGGTGATAGGTGAGCACTAAGTCTGTGAAGATTATTTATTTTTATTTGTTTTAGTCTGGAAGAGCCCTGGACATTTTAAATACTGAGAGGAAAGACCCAGATGAGAGAGAATAATTTATAGAGTAAGATTCTTAGGAAGAAGAAGGTGAAAGAAAAGTACAGGAGAAAAGGAGGCTGCGTGGACTCACAGTTTGAGTAGCAGGACAGGGAGTTGAGAGAGTCCTGCTCTTATGGCTCTTTTCTCTATAAAGGGAGAGAAGACAAAGTGATTAACATGAAGAAGAGGTGATGGTTTCAGAACTCTAGGGAAATAGTGAAGAACTGAAAGAAATGCTGTGATTCACGGGAGAATTAGCCAGATGGGACACTGAGAAGAATTGCCGGGTTTCCTTTCTGTACGCATCTGAGCTGGCAGGCTGCGAATTCCCAATGGCAGTGGTCCACATGCTCGCCTGGTTTTCTCTGGCTCTACAGTGCAGGGCAGCAGTGGAGAAGAAGGACACCTGGACTGATGAAGACAGGGCTGGATGCGTGGTTCAGGGTAAGGGCAAGTAGTGAGGGGGTTGTCTGACTGACAAGGAAGTGGTCGAAGTGGTGGATGGTGTGGTAACAGACAAAGAGAAGGGTGTACTGGGCTGTCTAGGGGAAGAAAAGTAACTTTCCTCAACCCTAATAAGTTCTTAGAGTGGACACTGTAGCAATAGATACAGGTTAACAGGAGAAAAGTATATAGACGTTTATTAAGGTTTTTCACATATACATGGGAAACCCACAGGCAATGTGCATTTCTCAAAGAGGTTGCTGTCAGAAATTCAGTATCTGAGATGACTACTTTTGGTTCAAGATGGTGATATGCAGGGGCTGATTTGGGAATGGCTGAAGTGGAGAGGACACAGGACTGTGTGGGTAGGGTACTAGGTGAAATCGTGGATTGGCTGGTAGGCATATACTCGTGCACTCAACACTGGGGTATGAGGTGTGGGGATCATTTTTCAGGAGAGGAAAAGTAGCAAGTCAAAAGTGTCCATTAGTGTAAAAAGTAACATACCTTCAGGTGTGGTTTGCATCACCGTGGGGGTTGGATACACCTGTGCTGCCTGTTACCTACTAGAGCCTGGAGTGTGGCTGCATTTGAGCTATTGCAGTAGGGAGGCCTGGGATTCAGCCAAAAGGTAGAAGCAGTGCAAGATATTGAAGATCTAAGAGACTTTGTTTACCATGGCATGGATATTTCTGGAAAGTTTGGGAGTGGTGGGAATCTCGTCAAGAGAAATGAAACCAAATGATTAGGGACTTGAGAGGCTCAGAGTTGGAAGAACCTGCATCTGAGTGGAAGCCAACAGTGACCTGGAGGTGAGGCCTGAGGGCAAAAAGTTCCAAGAGGAACTCTGGTATAAACTAGTCTGTGTTTGATGCCGGCTGATGGATTGCTGGTGAGAAGCTTGAAGCAGCAAACACTAATGATAAAATTGTGGTAGAGTTTTCTGTGTGCCAAGCACTATACTAAGCAATGGATTATTTCATATAATCTTTAGATCCACCCAAGGAGTAGACATGAAATAGTGTGAGATAATAGTCTGAAATTCATCTATTGGAAACTTAATAAATTGTTTTCTGTTGGTTGCTATATAACCATTTCAGATCTCAACACCCTTCCTCACGCAGAATACTGTGTAACACTCACACTTGCTTCTGTGGTTGACATTTACTCACTTTCCTTATTAATGGTGATAACTTTGTAAGTGGACTGGGCTGGAATCTTCTTCAGTCACCAAAAGGCAACCCTCACCCCCATTTTGCCCTTCATTACATCTGTAAATTCCACCAGGTAGCTCCTGCATTCTACAGGCTCCCAGGAGCAGTTGATTTCATCACCTGTAAAGGCTCCTAGGTACCTGTTAGGAAATTTTACCTAGAGGCTCGACTTCTTATATACCATTTCCTAGATTAGTTTTTCTGAACTAACAAGTTGTTTTCATAGATTTTGATTAGTTTGAGGAATCAATTTAAAAATTTTAATGTTTATTCCTTTCTGTGGGAAAAGTGGGGAGAAGAATACAGCCAAGTTTTTGCTTCTTTCTTTGTCAAAAGAATAACACCAGTGACAACAAATAAGCTAACCTATATTGAACATGTCCTTACTATGTGCCAGGTGTAACACTGTGCAAATGCTGAATTGTCATACACACTGAAACACTTATCATCCTCATCATTTTACAAGTGAGGGGACAGCCTTAAAGCAGTTGAATAATTTGAGCAAGTAAGCTGTGGCAGTGTAAATGCATGGGCCGTGCAGGAAGGATCACTGGCATAGTTTTAGACCAAGCTATCCTTGGAAATGAGGAAGAAAGTAGTGATACTTTTTAACATTACAAAAAGAGAAATTCCTCTTACGTGTTATATAATGGGTTCATACTCTTTCTGATGCTGTGGAGATCAGCATGAATTCCTAGGAAAGATGACTAGAACTGAGACACTGCCTTGCTTTCACACCCTGCCATTTGTCAAGGCAAGTGTTTTGGGCTGTGGCACTCGCAGCTCCACAGGGAAGGGCCTGGCTGGCTGTCTGCTCTGAAGAAAGGACGGATGAGGGCCACCATTATCTCCTACAAGTAGCAATGGAGTGGCTGCCTGGCCTGGCAAGGGCCTCAACTGCCACAGTCTTTGTGTCCCAGGTCCCTGGGTTGGCTGTGCCCTGGCTCTTGTGGCAGTCGAGAGGAATAAAAAGGACTTCTTGTTTGAGCTCCCCACTGCCTGCATGTCAAAAAGTTTCCTTTAGTCTGGAGTTTTTTATTCTCCACTCTTAGCTGTTTGATTCTGTATTTAGATCTCTGAGTTCTGTGTTGTGTTCACAGTCTTTTTAATAAGATTTTAGACCACAAAGGACCTTAAATGTTATCTACTTTGGCCTCTGCCCTTCTCGTTTTATAGATGAGGAAGTTGATTCACAGACATGAAGTGAATCATGCAAAGCCATGGCACTGGTGGGCAGGACTAGAAACATATCTCATGATGCTCGCTGGTCTACAGATGTTCCTATTACAGAATGATTTGTACCTCTCTGTGTCTTGCTTCCACTCATATTTGCCTGTCCTGATCCTGGCTTGCCTCCTGCCTCTTTGATCCCTTGGCTTTGGGTCTTGCTCTGGCTGAGGGAACAGTTGTTTGCTGGTGTTAATCCCAGCTTTGGAATTACTGTGGAACCCTGGTAAAGTCACTTTGGGCCTTGGTGTAATTCTCAGGGGTTAAGTAAGACTCTTGTCAAAGAGATACTCTTGGGAAGGTTCAAATCGTGGAAACTAGTGACTTATTATTCAATGGAAAAGATTTTTTTTAATAACAATGAGTATAAAATATAGGTGAAAATCACTTGGTAAAGATTTCCTATTGAACAAGCTGAGCGAGACTCACAAGAAAATTAAAGACTTTCAGCCAAATTATTATGTAAGAGAGTTCATAGGAGAAGGTGCTATTTCTTTCTTTATTCTTTACGCAGAATACCTGCTGGATCAAATTCTGCTCTGCAGGTGGTAGTATAGAGTAATTTGTAGATTTTACTTCTAATCCATTGGATTTGGAGAAAACATTTGCTTAAGTTGTTTTAACAGATCTGATTAACAAAGAAGAATATAGGATTTTTCTTTCTTTATTATTATTTTTTCGGTACTGGGGATCAAACTCAGGACCCTGTGCTTGCCAGGGAGGTGCAGCACCACTGAGCTAAATCCCCAGCCCTTGATGCAGGATTTTTCCAATGCTGAAAAGTTTTGGCATGGTAAAAATTTAGGTGTTTTTAAATTGGATACAAATAAGTTATATTTATCAATCTGTTAAATTTAGCTTTACTATATATAAAACGGGTAAAATATATTTAGCTAATAAATGAGAGTAATGAGGATTAATTAAAATAGCACTTGTAACGTGCTTGGCACATGTAGGCTCTTGTCTATGTTAGCTCCCTTCTTTCCTAACAGTTTTAACACTTTCTATTGTATTTAGATATCTGATATCCATGTTACTGGAGAGTCAGAAGATATGTCTGCAAAAGAGAAATTGCTACTGTGGACACAGCAGGCAACAGAAGGTTATGCTGGAATACGGTGTGAAAATTTCACTACCTGCTGGAGAGATGGAAAACTATTTAATGCCATCATCCATAAATACAGGTATACAATTTGTGGGTTATTTCCCTTTAAACAAACATGAGCTGTTTCTTTCATTCCTAAATTTTAAAATAACCTGTTATTACTATAGAAGCATTATGTGTATATGACAGAGAGCTAGGAAATACAAACATCATGTTCCTACCACTAAGAGATCATTACTCCAAACTTCAGTCCATGTGCACGCCTGCACGTGCATGTGCACACATACATACACACACCCATAGCTGTAATGTGTTTGGATTTTGCCAGTCACAGCACATACTAAGCTCTGATATGCAAAATCTGACCTAGATTGCAGCTCACAAATTTTCAAATCATGTTACCCAGTCACATTACTCTAGTGAGTAGTTGGGCTTAACATTCATTGACCAATTTTGGAGTAGCGAACAGTTTTCTGGTGAGAATTATTAACAGCTAAATCCACATTTAAAACTGAACAAAGATGAGCTTCAGACATTTATAGCTAAATGGATGGACCTTGAGACCATACTCTTTAAGTGAAATAAATTAGACACACATGTTTAAATACCACATTGTTTCTCTGCTGTGAGAAACTGAATATAGAAATAAGGACTGAGATGTATAATGGATGTTGGGAAATGGGAAGAAAGTGTCCAGATGGGAAGGGAAACAAGGGAAGAGGGAAGCAGAAAGGAAGGAAGGAACAAGAAAAAAAGAAAATGGAAGGAAAATGGAAATAAAGCTTTTGTACATGGGGAGGGGAGGGTGCTTGAGGGGGAGAATGGGATAAAATAAAATAAAATTTATTAAATAAATAAAACTGAATAAAGCACTTATTGCCAGGCAGTAGTCTAAGAAGTTTACATAACTAATGTGATCCTCATACATCCATATTATCATTCCTAGTTAATGAGCGGTAACTGAGGCAGAGTAAATATGTGCATAGTCTCACACCCAGCAAGTAGCAGGCTTGCTATTAAAATGTAGGCAGGCTGATACTTAAGTCTGAGCTTTTGTTGCCTTACAAGAAACTGAATCCACAGAAAATACTGATTAAAAGCACTGTATTTCTTTTCTTTCTTTCTTTCTTTCTTTCTTTTTTTTTGGTACCAGGGATTGAACTCAGGACCTTCTGCTTGTGAGGCAGGGGACAGCACCACTGAGCTAAATTCCTGGCCCTCTATATTTCTTGATCTCAGTTATTTTCCTTAATTTTACCAAGTTTGTATCATGTTGTTGAAGAACTGAATACAATTCTAAATAGATTAAGCCTAAGCTATAAACTCATTAAACTGAAAAACTTATTTGATTACGGTAAAAATAATTGTGTAGATTAGTTAATGGTTTGAAGCATTCTGTGAAGTGCTTTACATGTGTTATCTCATTCAAATCTTAACATTCCATAAAGCAAGACCTGTTATTACTCCAATTTTATAGATGAAGAATGTGAGGTTTACCAAGGTCACACTGTTAATAAATTACAGCTAACATTCAAATCCAGCTCTGTTTGAATTGAAATCCCATTCTACCCCCTCTACCTCCCTTTTCCTATCTTTTCTTTCTTTCACTCCTTTTCTCTCCCCTTCATCTCTCCCTCCTTTTTTATTTTGAAAATATTAGTATCTATAAAATAGAAATGAATCCTTCATGTACCCACACCCGAGAGTGACCTATTTTTAAAGTCTCTCTCCTTTATGGAACAACATTTAAATAGAAGAGGGTGTAGGTTGTTGCATTAAAAAGAAAAACCAAGATCAACTTGTCTATACTGGATCAAAATAAAGTGTCAGATCTCCTGCAGTAGCACAATGCTAAGAGGGTTTAACGGTTACAGACATTGCCCTTGTCAAAATGCACTTCCCCGCTGACTTAAAGCTGGAGGGCTGTGTAGCTGGACACATCCTATACAGGGATGATAAGATTTTCATTGCGATACCTAAAGAGCTTATGTCATGGTGCATCTTCAAGGGTGTGCTCTGCTGTCTTTGAAACTTTCTACGTTAGAAGCAAATGTTTTTAGAAGCCAGTTCTTTTTCTAAAATAATGTACTTTAAAAATCAGTGGTCTGTATGCAGTGTGTCTTCAGTACTTATGAAGAATTATAAGAACAATTTGCCATACAGAGGCTGTGCATTTTTCTACTAAGTACTTACATAAGTCACTGTGTATGTTATTTCTTACGGATGTTTAATGTTGCAGGGCCCTTGTTGCTTTTGGTGAGCACTTGAACCTTGTGAATGGTATTTGTTTTAACTTTTAATTTGGAATAGTGATCATTTTAGAAAACTGTTTAGCTTTAACTTTGAATTTCAGTTTTCCTAGTTTGCTTTTTTTAAAAACTTGTGGTTAAAAATGCCATATATCAGGTTTAAATACAAGATTTATTTGTTGCGGAGGTTTTGTACCTGATATCCTGTACCTGATAAAATATCACTGTGGTTTCTTTCATTAGAAGAAATCTTTCATCTATAGAACTGTATTTTTTAAGTCCTTTCTTTTCTTATGAAGACAAGTACTTTTCTTCTAGCATGTGTAAGAATTGATTGGATGGGGTAGAACTGAATTTATTTCTTGCAGTTGAATGACTTGATTTTACTCCAAAGACAGAATAGACAAAATTATAAACAAACCATCACCATGAGTAGGTTTTGGAATATTGGACAGTATTAGTCACATTTAGAGAATAGTGTCTCATTTAGCAGTTGTTTTTACGTAACAAGCATTCCCATAAGTTTGTGGTGTATTTGAATTGCTGTGAGGACAAATCCATTTAATTGGGCTTTGTTTTGGTATTTATTTAGATAAAATGTTTATTTATATGAATTTTGTCTTCTGTAATTATGGATTTAATTTGGCTTCTGTAATAAAAATGATCTGAGATCACATGTGGATCTGCTTTCTAACCATGTGGAGTGCTTTGTTAGGCAGGATCTGGAGAGAGCATGAGGGCTTAACAGGATAGAACCTCCTATTGGAGGCAGTGGCGCAAGGAAGGAAGGATGTGTACCTGAGTGTGTTAGGTTTTCATACCATAGATAGACTAGGGAACACTGCTGTAGAGATTTAAAAATAAACTGAAGCTTGGCATGGTGACACACGCCTGTAACCCCAGCACTCTAGGAGGCTGAGGCAGAAGGATTACAAATTTGAGCCCAGCCTTGCAATGTAGTGACTTAGCAAGACCCTATCTCAGAATAACTTATTGAGGGGGAAAAGGCCTGAGGATTCAGTTCAGACCAAAGGTCCTAGGTTTAATCCCCAGTACCAAAAGGGAAAACAAAAAGTAAAGTAGACCATTATTTCTAATGAGTCAGTGTATGTGTGTGTAATGTCTTATAAAAATTTTAGAAATACTAATTTGACATAGGAACAGAGTAATGGCATCCTTTAGATTTTGTATTAATGTAAATTATACTGTCAATAGTTACTAGTCAAGTACATTAATTTGGATTGTCTAGCACATTTGTATTAGTGCTGTCACACAAAATATGACTTGAAAATTGTTAATATCAGGAAGCAATATTTTATTAGTAATTCAGTGTCATAAAATTTTGCATAGAAAACAAAATTTTTTCCTCAGAGAACTATTATATGAAATAAAAATAACAAGTTTATATAATAAGGAATTTATAGCTATCAAAGAATTAAAATGATCTGTGACAGTAAAGAGAAAAGTAGCTGTCACAAAGTGAGTCCCCAAGAAATATATGCAGAATGTTGACCGTGTAGATGTTTCTGTCCCAGCTTTTAAAAATGTGTGAGTTTTTAAAAAATTACCTCAATGCTCTGAAATAGATTGTGTTTGCTTTTTATATTAATAAAGAAACCAAAACTCAGAGGGTTACTAACCAATCTTTGAAGTAATGGAGGCGATTGGTCTGGATTCTCAGGTCTTCTTGTACTTCCTGTAATGACTTAGATAATCTCCTTTAGGGAGACTAGATTTCAAGAAATGGAACAGTTGGCCAGAACAGTTATGATAGTACAACCTCAAAGACTTATGGTATTTAGTAAAGGTACATGAAGATTATTGATGAATATAGGAAAGGATTAAACATATATACAGCTAACAACTGAAGTCTTTGCTCCTTGTTAAAAATGAATAAGGGACATTAGTTGTTTAGCTTAGTATTAACCAACAGTGAAAATAGCATCATCAACAAGTTATGATACAAGGAGGAAAATTGTAGATAATAAAAGAAGATTAGAATATGTAGTCTAACAGCAAAATTGCAAATGATCTTTTCTTTAGTTTTAGTGTGTCGTATTATTCTAAACAGATGAAGAGCCTGGGTTATGCCTAGGGAACAAAGTGGAAAGTGACATGATTTAGTGGAAGAGATTATAAGGAACCAGTCTGTAGCTTCTGTGTTGTCCATCGAATCTGTTTTTGGCAGTTTTGTTCCTCATTCCTTCTAGGAACTTCTATTTGTTATGTTCAGTTTTCATTGGAAAAGGATTATGTAAGTAAAAGCCACATGCCTGTAGTAGTTTCCACTTGTTTTGTTTGTATAGCTTGAATGTTCTTTAATGCATTATAAAATCTTTTCACTGAAAACCACATCTGTTAGTAAATTTTAGTTAAATAAGCCTCACTGTTGCCTGTAACCTTAATTATCATTCAAAAGAACAGCAAGGAAGACTGGATTTGATGTACTGTATGTAGATGAGAAGGGTGTTACAAAAGCATTTGATGAGTAAGCAGCTTAAAAGCAGGAGAGGATAAAGTAGAATTTATTGAGAGCCAATAGTGAGGGGCTCTGGGAGTAGCCACTAAATACTAGGGGCATTAATGTCATCAAGGTGTAGAGGAGTAAACCTTCTGACAGTACTGCATATTCTTCAGAGGCAGGAATTGTAAGCGGAGAGTTCAGCTGTGTGCTTAGGTATCACAGGAAGACTGGTTTGCTGCCTTCTGAGAGACAGCTCTGCCTGCCAGTTTGAAATTCAGCCCCGGAACTGTCTGACTTCTGTCCGTCTCTCCATGTGGATATTTGTCCTAGCACACTGAGGAAAGCCAGGTTCTAGTACACCAGCCA